GGGGGGGGGGGGGGGGGGGGACCCATTGCACATAGTTGGAAGCCGGAGGGAGAGCAGTTCAGTTCCTCTTGAGCCCGGTCTCAACACACACACACACAGAGGAGCTGCATTCGGCTTGGCTTTGGACCGTTGGGCTGGGAGAACCAAGAGGGAAACATGAAGCTGTTGGGAGGAGGAGGAGGAGGAGGAGGAGGGTGGGGTGGTTTACAAGACTCTGTTTTGTAAAAAAAAACCCACGGTGGAAAAAAATGTAGATTTCTTGTAGATGTTATTATCTATGTTGTAAATATGTTTTGTAGATTGAAGCCATGGAAAGCCATGCCTATCAAAGCTTTTGACATCCAAACTAATCAACGCCTAGGCGGCTACATTCATTAGCTAGCCTTTCCTTCATGTTAACTCGTCTGCAGACTTAAAGCTTCATTTTGTCCGTTCATAGATCATTGAACCGCTGAGCGCGTGCGACCTGCATGTAAACGGAGGAGGATGTTTGTAAGCCATTTATTTACACAGAAGCCTAGCATAAAACATAACACACTGGTGTCAAAGTAGTTTTCCCCTCAGATATTGGTAAACTGAGTACTCTGTCTAGATTCTCTTCCTGTGCCCTCTCCGGGCGAACTGTAACCTCTTACTCAGGCGTGGTGAACGCCCCCTCCCCGCAGGTCCTTCACGACCGCTCACAAACGGTTCAGTGATCTATTTGCAGCTTCTGGTGGCCCTGCATGTCCCAGTCTGAAAAAAACAGTGCCTGGTGGTGTGGTGGAGTGAGTGATTTAGAAACAATTTAAGAGATGTGATGGCGTGCTGCTTTGGACCATTCCCACTCCCCCCTTCCTCTCCCCTTGGCCTCAGCCCTGCCCTGCCTCACCCCCTCTCCTGAGACTACACTTTACACCCTCCTTGTAGTTTTTTCTTTGTGTTCCAGCAGGTTTTGTTCCTCTTTTTTCCCTCCTGGTTCATTCCTTTGTACAGTCGCTAACATACAGTGGAGTTTTAAGAAGAGGACGCAGAATAAAAAAAAAAGGTTTTATTTATAAGAGTTGTAGTGACGAGCAGTAAATCACAATGATATCCATACATTTTCATTTGCACCCAGTTTAGGAGTGGTAGAATCCAGCTACAGCAGGTCAGAGGCGGATGTATGTGGATCTCCTCTTGTGTCAGAGCAGGGCGCCAAGAGGTCACAAGTTCAAATGTGAAATTATGTATTGTAATAAACATGTTCAACTAAAGTGCGCACTGGTTATTTTATTGGAGTGTTAGGTTTGGTTCATACGCTAGTGCCTTGTGGAAAGTCTTAAGTGTCACAGCCTCGTTTCCCTGCAGACCCCACGTTTTCTTTGCTCCCCACTGACCGACAACAGAAAGATCTTCAACAAGCGTCTCACGCAGGGTTGTTTTTGTTTGGCATGTCCCATCCCTCTCTTATGTTTGTTGAAGAGCAGGGTCCTAAGCTGCAAAGGCCTGTTTCCCCCCCCCCCACCATACTATCTATTGAGTCTATAACTGAACCGCACCACACATTCAGTAAAGGTGACCACATCATTGCTTTGTATATTGTTTCCTGAAGTATATTGACAAATGAAATAAAATATGCCTCTCCAGGGCCATGTTGTTCTTGGGTTTTTGATGGTCCCTTTAGCTTCCAGTTGTTGTATTGTTGGACTTCAAAAAGACATGTTTTGGGTAGTTTGAATCAGGAGTGGCTGCATGTTATTAATCAGCCCCAATGAAGAATAATAATGAATGTAGACTATTTTTTAAGGTAAAGTCAATCTCTTTCACATCCATCCACAGTGTAACCTGTGCACTCTGCTGCCCCCTGCTGGTGCTCTCATGTCTTACACTGCACACACAGAGGAGTCTGACCTCTGTTTAGAAGATTAGTGCTATCAGATCAAAGCCTCGTGCGGTTCATCTTCCTGGTATGTCCTGCTCCAGTCTCAACTTGCAAGACATTTTTGAATCCGACACACACACTGTCTATCCTCTAGTCTTATTCAGTGATTACATGGTCGGTTAGTGTGTGAGCAGCATTCTGGTCATGTCTTAAGGTGGCCTGTTTAAAGATCCTCCTCCAGACATGTATGGAGACAATGTGTGTCTGAAGTTTATTCCCAAACATTTTTTTCCACATCTACTCAGGCATCTACTCATACTTCATTAAAAGAAATCCAGAGTCTGATTATGCAAATTGTGTCCATTTCTTAAGATGTTTCCTGCTTCACTGTAAAGTCCATCCTCAGTGTAAGAAGTAGGTTTAAAACAGACAAAGTAAAAACAAAAATAGACTAAAATGAATAGAATTTTATGAGACTTAAAACATTCTAACAAGAAAATATTCAAATAAAAGCCAATAAAATAAACAAGATAAAGTATGAAAACCAGAGTATGATTGCTGAATATCAGTACAAGACTAAGAAATTACAACAAAAACAATAAAATGGTAAGAAGTACATTAAATAAAGGATAAAGGTACAGAAAACCAAGATACACTTAAAAACAAAGGCAATAAATAAGATGAGACTTTAAATAAAGATGTCTTAAGCTTTGTTGTTTCTCTGTACAGGTCACTGGTTGTACCACCTTCTACCTACAGAGGGCAGTAAAATGACTATCAGCTAGAGACAGGAAGAAAACCAGTTGAAAGTGCAGATGGGGCTTTTATGGTAGACCATAAAACAAGAATATTTTGAAAAATGTAAATTAGTCATATTTAAGGGGCATACATAAAGTTTAAATTTAAAGACACAAAACCAGTTTGGATCAAATTACCTGTAAATAGAATGTATTATAGTTGTATGTCTTACATTTCTGTTTGTTTGCATAAAACAATTTTTTCAACCTTGAACTGTTCTATAATAATATTTTTGACTTATAACTGAGTTTGTGCTGAAGAAAAGGATACCATGCATATATGTATAAAATCATAAGGATTCATTGTTTAAAAGATGCTAAACAAATACAAAATAAATGCATACAGTCTGTAAAATGACCCAAAAAAATTGAACTAATCCAAATAGATCTATGGTACATGACAATGTTTACTGTATTAATTACTTAATTAATTAATTGTAATTGTTGAAATAGTTTTTTGTGTTTGTGTGGTTTTCTTTGTATTTTGCACTTTACATATCGTCACCCTGTTAAAATAATCGCCTAACTCATTTTTTTCAAGTTTTTCAGGAAACAGCTAACAGCGCATAGTGAGGCACCATGATCTGCCACCGATTACGGAGCAAGACCGTCTCACAACCTCTCGCAATGTGGCTGGTCTGGTCCTCGTTCCTCTATTGCCCTGGCACCACTACCACAGTCTTGACCTCGGTCGTGTGGTGACGTCAGGCGGACGGCTCTTTTACCACGCATGCAACAGCGTCGATCTTCAAGGTTCCACTCAGTGCGGACCCGCCTTTGGCAGACCCATGAATCGAAGGTATCTTGCAACTCCCGTGGGGAGACACGAGAAACTGCCTCGCTTCGCAAGAGACAATAAATAACAGCCTAATCCCTGCAGCTCCCTTCACACCAGAGCGCCAGCATACCATACGCGGTACCACTCATCCGGGCGTAGTCGTCTTACACCTCGCTGCGGGACGAAACCTGATCGCACTTGAGCACTACAAACTTCTTTTACACAGCTGAAGGCTTATGCCAGACGTGTGATAGGATACAATGCGCTAATGTGGATACATCTCTTCATGAGAACAACTTAGTAGGCGGGAACCAGTGCGTTGGCTTGGTATATCCTATACTTGAGATCCTTCAAGATCGGGTTTCATCGTCTGATTTAAGATTTCTGACTGTTCTCTCTGCTTAACAGCACAGTTCACTACTACACTGTTATCACGCCATGTGTGGGCTTTATGTCTTTACACTCTTCCTTACAGATCGCAGCAAGTTTATAGTAACATTTTCTTAAAGAGTCGCTCTAGAGCACCGAGTCTTCTGATAAACCACAGCTGGCTCGAGTGCGTTTCCACTTTAAATTATTGACATCGTCCATCCACCCGGATCTGGTCTATTGTCATACTAGCAATGCCCCTGCAGTTCCCAAGAGGAAAGAGTGAGGGTCTCAGTCTGGAGAAGCAGCCCTCAGTCTCTTAAACCTGCCTTTACTTGTGATGGCATACGGTCAATCGTTCCCAAGTCTGGCCGCGACCGGCTGCTGGTCCAAAACTGGTAGAAGCTTTTTATTTTACAAACTAGCTTCATCTCAGACTGCTCTGTTGTCCTCTTTGGACTCCCCACGATAAATCAAACCATACAGGATCCGTAGATGGACCATTAAAGGGACACTCAGGCCGTTATAGGACCGCGACTGCTAAAACGTTCAGCAACTGTCCTGAGAGTCAGATTAAAAACCTGGTCCAAACTCCGATAATCAAACTCAAAGATACCTTTTATTAGCCCCTAGTATGGTCATACCTCAAAAAGCACTGGGTCTCATTTCCCATAATGCAACTCATAGCATAGTTTTATTAAACCGTCCCCTGGCCTGGCCACTCCTTACCAGACCTCTTGAGCTGTGTAACCAAAGCAGCTTGTTCTGTTAAAATGTCTCCAAGCAGGAATAACTGCCGCTATTACATCACTATGACATCATCAGGGTTATTTTTGTCAGACGCTCAGGAGCCACGGGCAATTATACGACTGGTTTCACGCTGAACGAACTTCTCGTCGTACATTAATGGTCAAGCTGTGGTGTAAAAGAAGCTCTTTCATCAGACGCAGAAGACATGACGGCCTCGCTGAACCGGTTGGTGAGGACGAAACCTGCCCGCTGGGAGACGGAAAGCCCACGAGTAAACGAAAACAAAACTGTGTCTCTTTTTCATGCGCAGAGTGGCGTCAACAAGCTTTCAGGTGCAGGGGGTTGGAGAGGGGGTTAATGTAAGTGCCTTTTAGGGACCAGATCACCACCTACAGTGTTGTGTCTGCTTCACACATTAGGCGACGACTTGTAGGTGTGCGACCATAGAACGAAGGCAAGTAGGGGCTTTGCTTAACAAAGCCCCCCCTGTCTCGCTGCTAGGGAGGGGGCAACGACTGCTAGGTAGCCTGCTGAGATGGTTGGGAAGGGGGGGAGTAGAGAGTCAAGTCTACCTGGATTTTTAAATTAAACTTTGACACACCAGCCCAAACGAGCCTCAAAACGGAGTCCTGGACTTGCCCAATTCTGAGAGAAAAACTCCTGAGGGTCTAAACCCTCAACCTGCCCCCCCCTCTAGGTACACAGGACAACACAACAGTCAGACCACGTACTTCTCCAACACCCTTCCGGCTTTCCTCTCCTCCCTACTCTGACTGTGACCATATCAAGGTTCAGAACGACATCAGAGCAGGCAAGACCCTAGTCCTCCGTCCATCCTGTGATCTATTTTATTCCTCCTCAGGGATAATGGAGCAACTGCATGTGTGAGCGGAACGGTGGATACACGCTGGAGATGTGCAGGAAACTGTTTCTGCAGCACTGTTTGTATGTTGCAGATTGGGTTAGCCGGGGCATGCGCAAGTGCGTGGCTCTGCATTCGAGGCTTCACGCAGATTTATCTGGAGTGCTCGGAGATAGAACACTGACGCATCCAACTATGGTTTTATGCTCGGTTTTATGTGGGGATTAATCCAGTGCGCTCTGTTTCTCTTATCCACACACTCAGATGACTGTTGGAGAAACTGCGTTTGATCAAAAAATCAGGAGGGGCAGCTTTCTAATCCATATCATCAGTCTCTGAACAGTGATGGGCAGAAAATAGGGGCTTCCTTATTCTGACTGTGATCCAGTGGTTGAGTTGTAGTGCAGTGTCTAAGGAAGTTTCTTGCTCAATCTAAATGACAATAGTTCTGGAGGAATTAATAAAAATGGTCAAATGCATGTTCTTCATCGAGAAATATACATAATAAATAAACTTGCTTGTGTGTGTAGCTTCATTGCTGACATCCGGAAAGAGCAGCTTTTGACAGTGTTCAACAGAGTAGAAAATGGTATGCAAAATTAGGTAAAGGAACAGAAAGAAATCGAGTTATAATAAGTTGTTTTCATATATCGTTAACACTGTAAAATAATCGCCCTAAGTCATTTCTTTGGTTAAAATTGTTTTTTTGTGCCTAAAAGCAATACACCTCTGGCCACTATGTAAAAAATGCGCGCTCCCCTCCTCAGCTTCGATCAGATCCACTGTGATTTCTACCTTTAAGAGCTAATCGGGCCTACTGTCAAGTGTGCTGACTTCAAGCGGATACGTTTCCTTTGTGC